AACTACACCCTGACTCTAGGAGACTACGAGGGCAGCGCAGGTCAGTTCTGAGGATCATGTGAGGGGATGGTGCAGGTCAGTTCTGAGGGTCATGTGAGGGGATGGTGCAGGTCAGTTCTGAGGGTCATGTGAGGGGATGGTGCAGGTCAGTTCTGAGGGTCATGTGAGGGGATGGTGCAGGTCAGTTCTGAGGGTTATGTGAGGGGTAGGTGCAGGTCAGTTCTGAGGGTCGTGTGAGGGGATGGTGCAGGTCAGTTCTGAGGGTCATGTGAGGGGTAGGTAGTCACAGGACATAAAGGCAAGAACCTGAACTCCTTCCCAACGCTACACATACATCTCCTCCACGTAGAGAATATTTATATTTTTACACTTCCACTCGCAGAATAAACACAAGCTCCCTCCCTCCCTGCTGGCTGGCTAAAATCAACATCCTACACGAGAAACAAACACAGGTCAGCTCCCCGTTGGATGTTTATCAGATACTGTAGGTACGTTTAAGCCAATTAGCGCCGCAGGAGCTCTGGACGACATGTGTTGAACCCTGACTACCTGGCGGAGGTGTTGTGAGGCTGCCACGCTAACTCTGATCTTCCCTATCTCCTCCTCCTCCTCCGCCTCCTTTACTACTATCTTCCTTCCTTCATCCTCCTACTCCTCCTCCCTCTCTTCCTCCTCCTTTCTCCCTTCCCCCCCCCCCTTTCCTTTTGTTCTCCCTGCTACCAAGGCAACACTGACCCTCCCTCTCTCCCTCCCTCCGAACTTTCCTTCCTTCCTCCTGCTCTTCCTCCTTTACTCCTCTCTAACCTCTACTACAGCTTCTTCTTCCTCTCTGATCTGGTGCTTCCTCCTCCTCCTCCTCCTCATCCTCCTCCTCCTCCTGCCCCCTCTCCTGTACCTTCCTCCTCCTCTGTTTCCTGACCTCTTCTCCTTCCTCTCTTCCTCCTCCAGTCCCTTACTCCCATCTTCCTGCGTCTCCCCCTCCTCCTTTCATCCATCACTCCCTTTCCTCCGTTTATCTCCTCCTCTCTCTCTCTCTCTCTCTCTCTCTCTCTCTCTCTCTCTCTCTCTCTCTCTCTCTCCCTACCCCCTCTTTCCGGTTGCCTCGTCAGGTAATTAAAGTTGCGTGAATGTCTGTCGTCAACTGGTAGTAAACACGACGTGATAACAATGGTCAGCTTCGTGGTTATTATCTTAAGTGGTTGTTATCGTACTCATGGGTTATTATCTTACTCAGGGGGGTTGTTATCGTACTCATGGGGTTTGTTATCGTACTCAGGGGTTTGTTATCGTATTCATAGGGTTGTTATTGTAATCAGGTGGCCAGAGTCATACTTACGGGGTTGCGATATCGTCTGAATGGATGACGATATCGCATCTTAGAGGTTAAAGCTTACGAAGTGGTTAACATTATGCGATATCAGGATATGTTATGGCGATAAGGTTGATTTACCGATAACTAGACAATAGGATTTTACTTCTTAACTCAGGTGAACAATTAAATCAGCTTAAATACCGCTTTCTCCTCCTCCTCCCCTCCTCCTCCTACTTCTCCTCCCCTCCTCCTCCTCCTCCTCCTCCTACTTCTCCTCCCCTCCTCCTCCCCTCCTCCTACTTCTCCTCCCCTCCTCCCTATTCTTGGAGCACAATAAGCATGAGCCAACCCACACCAGCCATTAAGAGCGATATCCCAATGGCATGATACTTGGAATTTGGGCCTTGAAGGGAGAAGCACTGATCACCTGCTGTTATTGTTGTTACGCTACTCTGGTCTGGGAACGAAATGTCATCAGTGTCAGTCAGGGGCGAAGTTTGTAAGATTTAATTGGTTGTGTTTGTCCAATTGGGTGATGGGGGCTGAGTCTCTCTCTCTCTCTCTCTCTCTCTCTCTCTCTCTCTCTCTCTCTCTCTCAGGCGTCTGTTTACCTGGTCGTCTTCGCTTACATCTTCTACAGGAGTAAACAGGCACTATAGAATGTTCTTATATAGTATTAAGGTTGGATATATAGATCACTACGTCACAAAAATTACTTGATATTGCTCCTATAGATTTCAGCGAGGAAGATTTTGTGTCGTGAGAATATATGTCTACCTGTATGTGTGTGTTTGTATATGTAAAAGTCAGGAGAGGTTTTTCAAGTATAAATTACCTTAACTTCATTATCATAGGGGGGGGGGGTAGGGGTGTGTGTGTGTGTGTGTGTGTGTGTTGGTGGACTGACACAACCTTAATGTAGTACAAGTGAACCGCTAACACAATTGCTGGTCCTTTTTGTAGCGTTGCTAAACCACAACTCTAATTTTGCGTTTAGTAAACTGTATGCGTGTTGTGTTGTGTTGTGGGTTGTGTATGTGTTAGTGTGTTGTGTTGTGTTGAGTTGGGGGTAATGTGTTGTGTTGTGTTGTGGGTTGTGTATGTGTTAGTGTGTTGTGTTGGGGTAAAGCGATGTATTCTGTTTTGTGTTGATATTATTTATTTAACACATGCAAAATAGATTCACCATTGAGGTGCAAATGATCGATTTTTCGCTCTCGGTAAATTTAGTGGGAAGGTCAATATTTTTTTAAGGTTTATTTTTCGCACATCTGTCACTACCATAAACATCTGTCCCTTCCACAAAATCTCTCCCTTCCATAAATATCTGTCCCTTCCACAAACACCTGTCCTCTCCACAAACATCTGTCGCCTCCACAAACACCTGTCCCCTCCTCAAGCATCTGTCGCCTCCACAAACACCTGTCCCCTCCTCAAGCATCTGTCGCCTCCACAACATGTTGTTCCCGGCTCACGATTGGTGGTCTCCTTCGGCAGGTAACTCCCTCAAGTACCACCAGGGGGCGCCCTTCAGCACCCGGGACCGTGACAACGACTTCAACCCTCGCGGCCACTGCGCCAGGACCTTCCACGGCGCCTGGTGGTTCACCGCCTGTCATGAGGTTAGTAGTAAGGGGCCTGGCTAGTACAGTATATGAACAAGGGGCCTGGCGAGGGGCTGCCTAGGACACCAAATTAGAGGAACTTGGGAGATCCGAGTAAGGAACCATGGGATATGGCCAAAGGGTCTCTCCAGGGATCTGGTCAGAGAATTTACCCAGGGATGTGGTCAGAGGGTCTGTCCAGGGATGTGTCCAGATGGTCTATCCATGGATTTGGTCCGAGGGTTTGTCCAGGAATCTGGCCAGAGGGTCTATGCAGGGATCTGGTCAGAGGATCCGTCCGGGGATCTGGCCAGAGGATCTGTTCGGGGATCTGGGCAGGGGGTCTCCTCTGGCACATAGCCAGAGGGTTTGGTCAGGGGATCTGGCTTGGGTAATTACTAGGAGCCCGGTACCGAGAATATCAAAGGAGGAAGGAAGGAGATGAAGATAAAGGAAGAATGGGGGCAAGAGACGAGGTGGAACACTGGGTAAGAAGAGAAAGATATAGGAAAGGCGTCTCCAGTGGTCCACGTCACCTGCCTTGTTTATGTTGCACTAGAATAAGCTCACTTGTTTTTTTATCCACTTGTCTACCTGCTATCAACCTTAGTCTAAGCATGGAAGAATGAAACAACTGCATGAAGCTTCAAAAAGACAGTCAGCCTCCTTGACCTTTAAGATAGATAGACAGGATGGCCTCAACTTCACCTGTCTTAACTGGTTCCTGTTTTTTCTCCCCTCCCCCCTTACAGTCCCACCTGAACGGGCGGTACCATCATGGCCGCCACAAGAGCTACGGTGACGGCATCAACTGGATGGCCTTCCGTGGCCACAACTACTCCCTCAAGTTCTCCAGGATGATGATCAGACGCACCAACATCTAGATGGAGACCAAGACATCGCCTCCTCCCTCTGATCGATAATTCTTGGAGACATTCATATTTTGTTCTTCAGTTATTTTCCATTTCGACAACTCCTAGGAACTCTAGAGTGCGTTGGCAGTGTTTCTTATTTTAAATGCCTGAAGTGTGTGAGGAAAGACGAACTTGGAGGGAAAATTCACCCACTAGAGAGGATTCAGAGCTGAGGACATCTCCAGGAAGTTAATATTTCTTGTTGTCTCCAAGAATGCAAACGACTATTCATATCATTAGCCTTTAGCGGGGGCCTCCGGGCACGGTACTGGCGCCTCAGCCATCGAGCTAAATGCAGCTGCAGCGCCAGTACAATTAGTGGCGTGCCCAGGTGTTGTGGCAGTATAGGTACGGGTAATGAGATAAGTTACCTGTGTAGTTAATAGGTTAATGAGACGGTAATGAGAGTGCAGGAAGGAGATATCTCTTACCCTGGAGACGTTTAGAAGATCTCCCTCGCCGTCTCTGCAGATTGAAAATGTCAGGCAAGTTGTAGAGACTTGGGTAGATGGGTGGCTACTTCCGCTCCTCTAATTAGCACAGTAGTCTCCTTCTGAGGTATTTTACAGGTGGAAGTTGTCAGTGTTCCCGGGGTCAGGTCACAGGTATACTAGACTCGCCTAAATGGAGGTCAGGTCACAGGTATACCAAACTTACCTAGATGGAAGTCAGGTTCATATGTACCAGACTCACCTAAATGCAGGTCAGGTCACAGGTATACTGAGCTCACTTAGATGGAGGTTAGGTCACACATAGACCAGACTCACCCACCAGATCACAAGACTTCACAAACTTATTAAATATTCTGGTCAAGGCGAAAGTTATTGTAAACGTAGAATAAATTGTTTTCTTCTTCAACTCGGTGCCGTGTGTGTGTGTGTGTGTGTGTGTGTGTGTGTGTGTGTGTGTGTGTGTGTGTGTGTGTGTGTGTGTGTGTGTGTGTGTGTGTGTGTGTGTGTGTGTTGAATTGTTTCCCAACTGTACACAAATGTAAGCTTTGTCTTTGTACTCTGGAGTGATAAAAAGCTTTAGCCGTTTTAAGGAACTTTTGTGATGTAAAACAAAAAAATATCTTTGGTGTGGATCATTATATTAACAAACACTCATTATCCTCCTCGTGTGTGTGTGTGTGTGTGTGTGTGTGTGTGTGTGTGTGTGTGTGTGTGTGTGTGTGTGTGTTTCTCCTCACATAAGACGAACCCTGAAGGTGAGGCAGAAGGAGGGAGAAGGACAGGAGGGAGTGGGATGGGGATGAAGGGAAGGGGTGAGGGAGGGAGGGGAAGTGCAAATTGTAGAAGATTAGGCACAGAATGGGACCGATTGACGAATAACAAACGATTAGGAAATGATTTATGGAGAGTAAGAGGGAAGATTAGGAGTAGAGGAGGGAAATGTAGACGCTGTGAGGGGGGCCAAATGAAGTGTGGTTTAGAGCAAGGGTGATCAAAGGGAGTTTAATTTTAAAGGGAGCAATGAAGGGTATTAGGGATAAGACTATTTTTAAGGGAATGTTCAATGGGAGGAACTTGCTAAAGGGAGAGAATAAATGGAGGACATGGTTAAAGGGAACGCGAGGAAAGGGAGGAACTTGTTAAAGGGAGAGAATAAATGGAGGACATGGTTAAAGGGAACGCGAGGAAAGGGAGGAACTTGCTAAAGGGAGAGAATAAATGGAGGAGAATGGTTAAAGGGAACGCGAGGAAAGGGAGGAACTTGCTAAAGGGAGAGAATAAATGGAGGAGAATGGTTAAAGGGAACGAACAAAGGGAGTGATCAAGGAAGGAGGAATTTGTTAATTAGCTAAGGCAGAGAAGTGGAACTATTGATCTTGTGTGACTGGAGGCAGGAAATTATTAGAGGTGGGAGTAGGGGAGATGGAAGGGTAAAGGGATGGAGTAGGAGGAGGAAGAGGTGGGAGATAAAAAGCGTTATTTTTCTTCTCCTCTTCTCTGTTGATAATAGTCTCTCCTCCCCCCCACCTGGTGTTATGGAGAAAACACGACACAGCCACTCTCATATGACATCGTCCTTAAGGCTACAACAAAATGACTTATTGACTTTTCCGTCGGGTGAAACCTAACCTTAAGACTAATCGTTAACATGGGATCCATTAGGTTTAGGGGGTCTGTTTTAGGACTAAGGAGACTGATTTGTGCGGCTTCCTCAGTTAGGTTTAGGTTAAGGTCTGTTAAGACTAGGGGGCCTGTTGACTCCCCCCCGCCCTCCATGTTTATATAGTATTGGTATTCACTGAACTCTTGAGGCACACACACACACACACACACACACACACACACACACACACACACACACACACACACACACACATAAGGTTTCGTGAATTTAAATCAGAAGTTGCTCTTAGTGTGTGTGTGTGTGTGTGTGTGAGGAGTAGAATTATGAGCATTAAGTAGAGTGAGTCTCTTAGCATCAAGTACCTCCCACGCTGGCTGGTAAGGGCGGTCTGCCGTTCGCTTAGATAAGACCATCTGTTGATGATATCCCCAGCTCATGCGTGAGGGACATTATACAACCCTGAAATATTCCCACAACACAAATAATACCAAACTAACTTAATATAACTCAATAAACATCTAATAATCATCTTAAGTCCTTAAATACATCTGTTCAATAGCATGTAATAATAAACTATGTAAGAGAAATATATTTATTTCTCTAGCGGTGACTGCAAACTACGGCGTCCAAGTAATATAGCCGTAAAGTACAGTGGTGGGACTCTTAACGTGTTATTACAGTATATTAACTCTTGTGTTGCCTTCGATGTGGTCTGGACAGCTGAACTTATCCAGTGTCGGTGAGTGCTGTGTGTACCCTGGCAGCATGGATACCCACCACTATATATCAGTGTACTGTAATATACCACCATTATCTATTAATTATTATTGTCACTACCATTATACCAATACCATCATCACATAACACTACTTCTACTACTACTACTACTACTACTACTTTTTTTTTTTTTAAACGTGGCCTCCAGCCTCCCCCAATAGCCACACCTTCGCCACCATTTATTTACCTTAATATTAAATATCCTAATACATAAGCAACTATCCTATCTGTGTTAAAATTAGTTGAGCCGCAGATCGATGCGGCATTCGGTGACTGTAGCCTCATAGTCTATATCTGCAGCAGTTGACGGAGTAGGGGCAGAAGCTCTCGTTCCCCTGAGGCAGAGCAAAGCCGACCGAAGGAGAGAGAAGGACAGTCGACATCTCATCCAGGCTGTGACATAACTTCTGGGCTGCTGCTTCTGTTCGGAGATCAGCTCCGCGAGTCTGGCGTAGAAACATCTTGCGCTTGGGCCCATCCCACCAGAGGTTGTGAACACTAGCGGAGTGAAGCTGCCTTGATCGACATTTTGAATTCTCTCCCCATATGCCCTTCTCTTGTCGTTCTCGTTCCTCCTATGTGCAGCATCGAGAGCTAGGTTACGGTGACAAACGGCCATGGGATCAAAAATCCTGATGTCGAAGAAGGCTCGCTGTCCCCGCGTCCAGAATCCTCGAGCACTGACGTCCACACGGGCTTCGTTAGATGTGTTTGAAGTCCTGTGTTGGAGGATCTCGCCATCCAGTGGAAGGAGGGTCGGTTCTACCATGACGTCCCGGCAGGTTTCCTTCAACATATTTGCTGTGAGATCCCTTACCTCGTCATGCCTCATGCATATGAAGCCCCCCTTCTTGCAAACCATGGCGTGATCGCCATCATAGGAATAGCCACACACGCATTGGGAGGGCAAACCATCTACTGGCCAACCGTACCTTAGAGCAATGGCATCTGTAAATTCTTGTTTGTTAAGGCTGAAACCATTTGCCCTTATCGGTAACGTAGTTAACCAGTTCGAGGCGCCCACCTCCTGCGCTATAGCTACTTTTTTTGTCAAATTTTCTGGAACCTGCAGCAATAGTTGCTGCAACATGTCATTTTGGCAGTGCTACTACTACTACTACTTCTACTACTTCTTCCTGTTACCCCTATTACCGCCACCACCACATACTAATACCATCAAAACTACTACCAATACTACTACTGCAACTACTACCACCACCACTACCACAATCACTGATACTACACCTACCAACACCATAACTACCACCATCACCCACCACCACTACCACCACAGCGACAAACATCACCAGTAGACGAGCGGCGGCACAACACTGACTTGCATCTTGATCACCAAACAATAACATCATCTGACAAGTTGTTAGGTGGGCGTAGTTACCCTAGTGGCCTGACGAGTGTAGTTAAGTAAGGAGAGCGAGATGACCAGAACTACGTCACGTTAGAGTCAACAACCTCAGATAGTCTTTGTTTTAGGGTACTGTATTTATTTTCTTGTGGAGGGGGGTGGGGGGGGGTAATTTTTTTTTTTTTTTAGAATGGAGTCAGGATTTAATTTTTCTTGTGAGGTCCATCGCACCTTAATAGTGTCTCTCCTCCTAGCTAGTGTGTTAGGAGGTAATACATACAATACATATCTCATTATTTTATATGAGGTTCACATGAAGATTAGTTCCCCCCTGTCTCTAGTTTACTTCACCTGATGAGTAACAAGACCCTAACCTGACCTGACCTTAAACACCTACCAGTTAACTTTAAGGTGTTTAATTATCATGTGGGATAAGGTAAGCTATGGGGGGGGGATTATCTTCATGTGATCCCTTTCTGACACTGCTGATCGTGTTCCCAGCAGTGGTGTGTGTTGCTTTATGGGGTTAGATACTGAGTGTCAACATCTCCTCCATATACTAGGAAGACAACAGTGTGTCAAGGTACAGGCAGGCGTCCTCGGGTGTCTGGCGTCCACGGGCGGTGTCCTTACCATGAATAAAAGTCGTTTATGACCACCGTGTGTTATCGGGAAGCTTGTATATGTATATGTGGTCGCTAGAGGTCGCCGTGTACGTGGGATCAGATAGGGGGAACAGCCTGATATTTCGTAGTTGTCACTCCCTCTCTGTAGACGCTCTGCCTCTGCCTGCCTGGTGAGTTGATGGGTGAAGGGGCGCATCCTTGAGGTGTATGGTGCCACTTGGGGTGTGTGACCTCTCTCTCTCTCTCTCTCTCTCTCTCTCTCTCTCTCTCTCACCTCTACCTGTGTGCCCCCCCTCCTCCCCCTTGAGGAAAATCTTCAACTCCAGAGCGTCAAGGAAGGAAGGTACACGCATACATACAGTACATACATAATAAGTCTTTGATATCGCTGTACAAAACGCTTCTAGATTCCTACTTTAACTAGCCTAGCGGTGTTATAACCTAGTTGATAAGGTCTGTAACAATCCTTCCCCCTCCCCACCTACCACACCTACCACACCTACCACCCCCCATACCCCCACCATCACCACCAAATACCCCCCCTACCACACCCCTACCCCACACCCCTACCATCACCCTGGGCCAACATCGGAATGATTTTCACACAAATTGTCATATTGATATTTAGAAGGAAAATCAAAGTAATGTTCGTCGTATGTGTGTTTTTCTTGTATAATGATAATGATGTAGAATATGATGATGATGATGATGATGTATATTTGCTTGACTTAGAAGTTATACAGTGTCTTGGGTTTTCTTATGGTAGAGAGTCGTATATTTTTTCTGTGTTTACATTTAGAGTCGACAGAAGAGTTAATTTGTTTGTTTTTTTCTTTGTTTGCTGACTTGGGCTTTTTGTTTACAGTCGTTTTAGTCTCTTCTGTTTACAGGTTAGCATAATTTGTTTAGTATTGTTTTTTGGTAGGATACTCTGCCAGTTGTTTACAGGTTAGCATAGTTTGTGTACATTGTTTACTGGTAGGATATACTGCCAGTTTACAGGTCAGCACACAATCTGTTTATATTGTTTTTTTTATATAGTGTGCATAATACTGCCTTGTTTATATTCAGCAGTGTTTGCCTCATTTGCCGTCAGTATA